TCTGCTTCTTACTGGCTCCTAAAAATCTACAGTTTCAGGATGAACTTCGTCTTCTTCCTTGAAGTCAGCACAGCATCTTCACTAAAGAGTTTTCTACCTCTGTTTCCTTATTATTTTGGTTGCTTTTGTTTTTTTTTTTTTGGTGGCAATGAGTTTCTGTTGTTGTTAGTAGTTTTTATTGGTGGAGTTTTTTTTTTTTTTTTTTTTTTTTTAAACTAAAAGTTTAAAACTTTTGAATTAGAGAAAACGGAGGTTTTGCTGATAGAAGTGTAATACAAATATAAGCCTAAATGTCAATTTTTCTGATACTCACTTTATCTTAATAGGGTGGGCCGTGATCTTCAAACTCTGTATTTCTCATTGTTCAGCCTTGTCTAGCTTTCTGTGTTAAAACAAGTTCTATGGAGTCTCCTGGAGAGCCATCCTCCTGCATTTCTGAGGCACAGTTATGTTCTCTCCTTAATCAGACCACTGCCTTCTCATCCCATGCTAGATTTTCTACCTACTGTGTTTTATGGACTATACCATTCTAGCTTTCTTGTAGCCTGGCTATCACTTGCGGATCAAAGTACAGCACCATCTTTCTCTCCTTGCAGAAGATGCCCTGTGATCTAATCTGTGTGTCAGCTAAAATAACAGGTACCACAGAATGTTTCTTTCCTATGTGAACAGTCAAATAACAGGAAAAGCTTCCATCCTACTAGAGGATGGTTTTCCAGGAAAATAAATAGATAAGTACTAAAAAGGCAGTTACTAAAAAGATGTAAAGGAAATGTGAACTGTTTGAATGCAGTTGCATGCTGATGCATGATAACCTGTACTTGGCAAATGCAAAGGAGACAGTAAATCCATGAGCTGCTCAGCTGATCTAATATTACGCTGCTGTGGAAATGAAGTCTTTTTTCCACACCATCTCCATCTCTGATTTGTGACTGTGTGGTCCTATCTTTTGTGTCCTGGGCTTCTACAAACCAATTAGCACACTAGAGCAGTAATAATGTGTGTGTGTATATATATGCACACATACACATCTTCTGGACTAGTTTATTGCAAAGCAATTTTGTGAGTTAAATCAACTCGTGGAATCTTGTCAGAGTTGGTTGCCAGGGCAAGGTGAGAGGAGGAAGAGGCCTGTTATAAGTGAGAAGGGGGATGGCAGTGCTGTCTGCTCTCAACAGAAAATCAGCAGCTGACCCACCAAATGGGGATCACCAGAGTCTAAGGTGCAATTGATTCCCATGGTCCTTATGCTTGGGAACAGAGGAAAATTTTAAGAATGATAGCAAAAAATCTGTTTTCTGAAAGAGGAAGGTGAAAGACACCAGGCACATCGCTGTTTAAAATAAATCCTCCAAGAGGATCAAAACAGATACTAACAAAGAAACGTGGAGGATTAAGTTTCAAGTTTAGTATCACTGAGAGATTCACTGACAGATCACCAGAAGCTCTATTACTTTCTCTGGACATCTTAGCAATCTTTGAATGAGCTGAACAATTAATCAAGAATATTCATGTCTGGTCGCTGCTCCATAGTTATCAGTCCTGCATAGAAGAAAGAAAAGAGCGGAGTTTGCAACAAATGGCTAATTGCATGATGTTAGGATGATCACTACACAGCATATCCTTACTGCAGGTTTCTGGAGTCAGTTATGCTGTCATTAAGAACTGGTCATTAATATAGTTAGCTTATTTAATGCTAACAAAAATGTTGAATATTTTTGAGAAGGTATCATACAATGTAGGGTTTATCACTTGGAAATACATTTGAAATATTTTGTAATAACAGATTTGTAACAACACAGATGCACTCTCCTAATAACACTCATTGCCAAGCTTAAATATAGGTACTAAATACTTGGAGCAGAAATATGAGAAAATTCTATTATATCTACAGAATATACTTACATAAACTGTTTCTACACACAAAGATATCAGTACGTAAGTAGAGTACGCTAAACCCAGCCCAGCTCTGGATGTGATTCAGGTTGCTGTGAATGACTGCCAAGGCAGACTATATTGCTCATCCCAGTTTCAACCTGCCCTAATTCCCTTTATGAGTTTATTATTTAGTGCTGGTTTTGTGCTCAGAGAGACCCAAACAGGAAGCGTCTGGGCGTTCTCAGTTCATGAAGTGGGTGGGATAGAGTTCTTTGGAGAAAACAAAATATGATCCACCTACAGACAGCGTTAGGCCAGCTCCCCAATTTCCTCTAAGTAGAACAGAGGCTTTTGTTGCCTTGGTTACTGGAATGATCAGCTGGTCAACAGCAAAATCACAGTCTCCAGACAGAACATCCTTTTGCATTTCTGATGGCAGCAAAGGATGCGATTGTTGAGGAGAAACAAAACAAAACAAAAACCCACAAAATGCTGTTAATCTGTGTGTCTTTTTTTTATTATTAAAAAAAAAAAATAAAAAAATTGGCGCCTTTCTAAGGAGGTCGTACAAGGTCAGTGAATGGAGGGGGCATTGTTTAGTGAACAGTTAGGCCTTTCACTAAAGCAACATTCCTGGATGTTTAATTTTCCATTCTTTTCTTAACAAAGATAAGAGTGAGCACTTGAAATTGTATGCCAAATTTCAGTGCTTAGAGAACATCAGTGACATTTGTACAGCCAGATTATGGATGACCATCTAAAAATTGTTCTCCTTCTCACTAGAGGTGTAGCTGTCTTATTGCTGTCATCTATCTATTCTTCCTTGAGCACAGAAATTGGTAAACACAACCAATTGCTTCCCCTGTGAGGTATAATCAAATCCGAATGGTTTCTTCTAGTTTCAAACACAAGAATTTCAGTGTCGTGATACTTGAGTGACAATTTACACTGAAAAGGAATTCCAAAATAATTTTAAAAGTTTCGAGTTCCAAAAAACTGTTGTTGTATCCCTTCTTTCCCAGAAGGGTGTAAATGATGTAGTTGTTCTTCAATTATATTTCAAATATCCCCAGTAGAGCTGGCTCCCCTGCCCTGGCAACTGTTCTTTTTGCAGCAGATCAATCCCCAGATACCGGTAACATTTATTTTTATTATTTTTGTTCTTTTTTTAATGGAATTCAGGTTTGATCATTTTTATCTATGTGAGATGCTAGTGGAGCAAAATGAACACCAGCGACAGCTCAGTGTAGCCTACTAGGATGCTGCAAATGAGAATCTCAGTTATGGTGAGGTCAAGGAGCCAGAATGTGAGAGTAATGCCACAGGAATACCTAGGCTAATCTAAGTGAAAAGGCATTTATTACCTTATGACTTGTCATTCGAAAACTTTTGACATACTGTAAATCTACCTAGAAAGAAAAGCATGATTTTTGGGTGAATATGGAAGTTTCATTTAAATGAATTGAGGTTTTAGAATTTAATAATTAGAAATAATTTTTTAAGAACCTCAACCAGCCATTAATCAACACTGGAGTTAAGAACTCAAGGACACACTTTCAAAGATTTTTACTAAGTTTTTCAGTATTACCAACATCATTTTACTAGCATAAACAAGGCACATTAAGAGAATACCCAAATGTTGCTTATTTTTAACTGCTTGTGCTCTGTTCAAATTAATATAAAATATTTCCAGTAAAGTTGTATTCTTGCATGATGTACTATTGTAGTGTTACATTGTTAAAACTGTAAGATACTGTTCAAATCTAAACTTCAACTGTTCAAATTGAGGGATGTGGTTTAGTGGTGGTGATGGGTTGACAGTTGGAATAATGATCGTAAAGGTCTTTTCCAACCTTAGTGAATCCATGTTTCTGTAACTCTATGACTCCAAACATCATAGGTGCATTATTATAATTATTTTAATGTAAACTTCTACATGTTTTTTATCCTAAACAAAAAAATTCAGCTCACAGTACCTGCCACAGTTCCTTTCAAAAAAATTGATTACATCAAGGCAGATGTTTTTTCCTAACCACTTAGCAGTGTGTGTAGTGAGATCATTGATGGCAGAACGTACAGTCCATTTCATCTGCAAAGACTGTAAGTGAAACTGAACACTTGTGAGGAAGGGAGCATTGGGATATTATGCTATTTTCTTTCTGGACAATCTATTTGATCACAAAGGTTCTGACTATTACAACTGCCAATCATATGAAGATTGACTGACAAACATTTGATGGGGAAATGCATGTTTCTGAGCTTCAGATCAACAGCCTAATGTACAACACCTGTTCTTATTCCAGTCATTGTAAAACTTCTACAGTGAACAAGCAAGAAATAGACTTCACTGTTTTTTCATATCAATCCTTTATAAAGGAAACCATGATAGGTGGCTTCTAGAGACTGCCTTCGCTGTAATCACATTAATCTGAGCAATAGAAAATTGAGCTTGATAAGCCCTTCTTATAACTAAAAAATAAGAATTTTGCACAGGTGGAGTGCTTGACTGGCCAGAGCAGCTGATCAGAAGAACTGCCAGGGACACCTCACCCTACTTCTGGAAAACAAAGAATCACAGAATGGCTTGGGTTGGAAGGGACGTCAGAGGTAAGGTAGTTCCTCCCCCCTGCCTGGGCAGGGCTGCCACCCACCAGCTCAGGCTGCCCAGAGCTCCATCCAGCCTGGCCTTGAATTTCTCCAGGTATGGGGCATCCACAACTTCTCCAGGCAGCCTGTGCTTCTGCCTCACCATTCTCTGAGCAAAGAATTTCCTCCTAATATCTAATCAAAATCTCCCCTCTTTTAGCTTAAAGCCATTCCCCCTTACCTATCACTATTAGGTAAAAAGCTGCTTCCCTTCCTGCTTATAATCTCTCTTCAAATACTGGAAGGTCATCTACACAATGACACACTGAAAAATAATAGGAGAAAAATGTGCACAGCAGCATGATTCTGAAAGTAGGCAGTGTGTCTGCAGCAAAGCCCTCCGCGCCAAGGAGAAACGAACGGAGGCCGCGGGGCCGGGCTGCAGGTCAGAGCGGGCGCGGCCGCGGTGCCCCCGCGCAGCGGGTGCAGGGACGGCCCCGCCATCGGCGCACCTGCGGCAGCCGCAGAGCCGGGTCGGCGCGGAGCGGAGCGGCGGCGCCATGGGCACCACGGCGGGGCAGCAGCTCCGAGCTCTCTTCTATGTGCTGTCGCCCGGCGAGAGCGCGTTCCGCACGCTGGAAGAGGTGCCCGACTACGTAGAGAAGGTGAGAGCCCCCTCTTCTCCTCTTTCCCGGGGACATCCTTTGCCAGCTTCTCCACCCACCCTGTGCCCATGAACCACCTGCCTTTTTCCAGAGGACTGGGGAAGATGTGACCTCAAAAGGGCGCCCAAAGTAAGATGAAATACCTTATCTTTCACTGACTGCAAGCTGTGTACTCTTCTAATGCATTATAAATGAAGGCTTGGATACTTACTCCTGATAGCAGGAGGTAGAGTTTTCAGAGGAGCAGCCCACATCTGAGTGTTGATGTTAATGCTGTTCAAATTGGCAGTGCTGAGTAAAGCAGAAAGCATGACACTGTCAGGCTGTTCAGGCCAAGATCCTACCTTTACAGATCAAAAAGTCAGCTCTCAGCCCTTAAAGTTAGTACCACCAGCTCAAAAGAAAAAAACTAAACAAACAATTCATATTCAAAAGAAAAAAAAAAAAAAAACAAAACACAAAGGTTGTTTAAGAGAATGAGAACAAATATTTGTGTTGGGACAGTGCTGTCTCCTATAGCTCCGAGGCAAGAGTACAGAGGTCCAGTGTGAGAGCTCCCTTGGCAGCAGTGTGTCACTTTCTCCCCTCCCACTCTGCCGGCATATCTGCTTTCATGGAGGTACCTTTGCTCCCTTCCGTCCTACCAATTGCACATATTTATCATGGCATATATCTTGAACTGCCGTGCAGCAGCTGCTATTGGGCTGTAGTGGGGGTGTTATGGGGTTGTGCAGTGCTGTCAGCAGCTTACCAGGAATCTCAGCATTCAGCAACCCACCGCTGATGGTGGCTATCAGCAGACATTGTCCCTTAGGACAGGATAAGCAAACCCAACCTGTGCACACAGTGTCTGGTTGAGGGATTGCTTTCCTCAGAGGTGTTGTGCAACTAAGCTATAATGTCAAGGAGGTCTGTCAAGAGCTTGACAGTTTTGCCTAGTCAGCTGATTGTTCCCTCCAGTTCTACCTACTGCCTTTCTCTACCTCTTTTAATGTTCCCATATTCCCACATTTTCAGCTGAGTGTCACACATTTTCTTGCCAGCACCATTCCTTAGCATCCCTGGTTTTTCTTCTGCCATAGAAGCTTGTTGCCTATTCTGCTCAGAACTTGTCCTAACCCATTATTCCTGGTACTGAGCACACAGTTAAGAATATTTGCAGAAGTATTAATTAGCATTATAGAAATGCCTGTAGATTTCTGCTGTTGTATAGCTCTCATAATAAGTTTATAAGGGAATGTGTATTTAGCAAAAAACTTATACTAGAAAAGGTTTCTCAGGATAGTTAAACTTCCTGTAATTGCTGTCTTGGAATAGCTCTAGCTGGAATCCATCTTGATGTATTTGCTGTCAGTATAACTCTGTTGTGTGTAAAAGTCTTATAGTGGTCCAACTATCTCAACTCTATAACCTTGGTCTGAGCTCTTCTGGCTGTACCTTTGTGAGTAGAAGTAACTGTTCTGTTCCTCTCCAGCTGCTTGTAACTGTGTTGAGATGGTAATAAATGAAGGCTTCAGTTCAGATTACTCACGCTCTAAAAAACAGTGGTGATGATGATGATGTGAAACAAGCTACAGATTAAATTAGTGACTC